TCAGGCCCAGTCGTGCAAAGCAAGCGGGAACAGGCCGGGTCAGCTGCCCGGTCGGGTGATATAATTAGCCGGTTTTTTCCACCATGAGTGGGCGGCTCCCGCGATGATGCAAGCGGGCAAGTCCGGGCAAGGCCGGCGGCCCGGCCTGATGGGGAGGGGTGGTGGTGTGGGGGGGACGACGACACACCACCCCGCGCCCCGCCCCCACCCCCGGACTCTGTCCCTCCCCAGGCCCCTGGGCTTCCCCAGGTCATGCGGTCTCCTGAGCCTTCTGCAGGCAACACCGGGGGCCCTGTGCCCCACGCACAGATCAGCTTCCCCAAGCCTAGAGACCAACCCGGAGGTACCTCTGACCCATCACCCCAGGAGGTTTTCGCAAACAGCAGCACTCCTGGCTGGCTGACCAGCCCCTGTTTTATTTATTATTATTATTGCTTTTTGAGCAGGCTTTCACTTTGTAGTTCAGGCTGGCCTTGAACTCACTATGTAGCCCAGGTTGCCCTCAAACTCGTGGTGAGCCTCCTGCCTCAGCCTCCAGAGGGCTGAGATTGCAGGCGTGTGCCACCACACCCAGCAGCACCTGGTTTTTAATATAGTAAATTCAGATAGGGTGGGAGGGTGGAATCTATTTTTCAGTTGTGTTGATGATGACCTACAATGGTATTAACTCTTTTCCTTTTCTTTTTGGTACCAGGGATCGAACTCAGGACCTTGTGGTTGCCAGGCAGGCACAGCGCCACTGAGCTAAATCCCCGGCCTATTAGTAACTATTTTTAAAATATATTGTGCGAAATAAGCCCACTGTGGACCCGAAGACCTGTGCCCAGGACAACTGCAGGGGCACTGTCTGCACAGCTGGGGCCCTAGAGGTGGCGATGCAGGTGACTTGCTGCTCTCTGGAAGGAGAACTGGGCTTCCCACGCCCCTCTCAGCAGCCAGCCCCTTGCCCCCCAGATCTCGGCCCAGGCCTGTGCACCCCACAGGTGTGAAACCTGGGGGTCTCTGTACCTGGCTTCTGCGCAAGAAAAGGGCTTTTCTTCTTCCTCAGCCTCGGAGGCCCCGGGCACTGCAGGTGGATTTGCTGAGCAAGGGATTCTCAGGTTCCGCCCGAGCGACTTCCCAGACTTTGATGTCAACTCCTTAAAAAAACGCAGCGGTGGCGCGGGAGGGTAGGCTGACTGCATACAATTTCCCTTTATGTGCGCTTCCTCCTCTGAGGCCTGCAAGGCCCGGGTCTGCGCGTGGGTTTCAGCTGCCGGGGGTGGGGGGGCAGTGGACCCCAGCCGGCCGGGAGGGCGCCCACCTCACCGGTGACAGCACAGAGGCCCGAGGCCCCCAGCAGGGCAGAGGGGGCCCCTTGTAGGAAGATAGGGAGGAAGGGGTCCCCTCTGCCTGTTCCCTGCCCGGTGGGGGAGGTGGCCAGCAAAGGTCAGCGCACATCTGTGTCCCCATCCGGGGACTGTCCTGACCAGTGCGTCCCGGGGAGGGGGGGCGTAAGCCAAGCCCTTAGCAAGGGACGGGTGTGCGGCGCCACGGCCCTTCTCGGCCAGGTGCACCGTGCCTGCGTCTCCTTTGCGCCCTTTCCGCCCCGCACCGCGGCCCTCGAGGCCCGGGGGAAGCGGAGTTGAAGGACGCACAGCGCCTGGTCCCTGAGCACATGGAGGCCCGCACCTGCCAGCCGGGGCCACTGCGCTGTGCGATGCCACCAGCCGGGACACAGAGGGACCCAGCCCCCGCTCTGCACCGGCTGCCGAGGGGCCCCAGCCGTCGGGGCTCAGGCTGCAGCTGCCGCCTTCCTCTGGGTTCTGGCGGGCCTGTGATCCCTAGAAGCAGGGATGAGGTCAAGCAGCTGGGAGGCAGGAGGGGTGGGGCACAGCCAGCGCCGTGCCGCCTTGACCCCGGCCAGTGTGAGCTGCTGCTCCGCGGCCTCTGTGTCCCCATCTGCAGATGAGTCCTAACCCCCCGCCCCGGTGGGGGGCATGCGGAGGGGACCGGCGATGGCTCTGCACCGCAAACACCGGCCCCAGCGCAAGCCCTCCCCGCTGAGCAGTGCGCATGCGCCACCTTCTTCTTGCGCGTGCTTAAAAATAATTTATTAGAAAAAAAAGGTAAAGAATGCGTAATTAATCTTCCTGCTGAAAAAAGAAAGTGCGTAATTCTCACTCTTTTTCTTCTTGATACTAACGACTGAACCCAGGGCCTTTGCAAAGAGCTACATCCCCAGCCCTTTTTTATTTTTTATTTTGAGACAGGGTCTTGGTAAACCACTAAATTGCCCCCATTGGGCTAGAACTTGCAGTCCTCCTGCCTCAGGCTCCCAGGTGTGTGCCACCACTCCGGGCTATAATTCCTACTCTTCCAGGGTCATCCATCCAGAAGGCTGTCTGAGCTAAAGAACCTGGGGCAGAAAAGGTTTAGAGCTTTGAAGTCCAGCTCCTGGGACAGTATCTGTTCCCCTTGCCACTAAGTATCTATTCTTCGCTGTCACAGTATCGGAAATGCCACCATTTTCTTTGGATTTTTCCACAAAAATGCAAGCAGTGATAATCTCCAGCATGCACTCATGCTAGACTTGTCCCAGTGGTCCTGAAGAGACAGATTGATGCTGAGGTCCCAACACTGAGGACAGGAGATTGAGGGACAATTCTACTCCTACATGTAAACCCAGAGACACACTGCCCATGTGCCCAGAGTGTGGATAAGAAGGCTCAAGGCACTGCACACCTGTGATCCCAACACTCAGGAGGCTGAGGCAGGAAAACTTCTGGGCATTTAAGGCCAGCCTGGGCTATAAAGTGAGTTAAGGCCAGCCTGCACTTCATAGAAAGACCTTGTCTCAAAGAAGGAAAAATTGGAAATAACTCAAATGACCATCCATCTACAGGAGAAGGGATAATTGGATAATTGAAAAAACAGAAAATAACTGAACCTTGTTGGAATGTTGTATTAACAAGCCTCGTTAGCACACAGTGACAACCAAAATCATCTGTTCGCTCACAATTATATTTATGCAGAGGCGGGGCAGGGGTTATCTCTACTTCTTTTTTTTTTTTTTTTTACAGAATTTACTACAAAACACCATAAAAATTGCCTTCACTTAAGCTCTCTCTCCCAGTATCTTATCCAGCGGGCCAACTGGATGTCTTTGGGCATGATAGTGACTCTCTTAGCGTGGGTGGCACACAGATTACTATCTTCAAATAGGACCACCAGGTGTGCTTCAATAGCCTCCTGGAGGGCACCAGTGGCTGCACTCTGAAACTTCAAGTGGGTTTTGAAATCCTGGGCAATCTCTCGCACCAACCTCTGGAAAGGCAGCTTCCGACTGAGAAGCTCTGTTGATTTCTGGTAACGAGGAATCTCTCGAAGTGGCACGGTACCGGGCCTGTAGCGATGAGGTTTCTTCACCCCACCGGTAGAGGGAGTGCTTTTCCTGGCAGCTTTAGTAGCCAGCTGTTTTCTGGGGGCTTTCCCACCAGTAGACATATGAGCAGTCTGCTTGGTTCTGGCCATTTTCTTCTACCCAATGCTGAAGTTTTAGGTCGATTCTCCGACTGCCGCTCCGGCGTTCAGTAAAGAGCTGCAGTCGCCAAAAACGAAAACAATACTCTCCAAACGACTGACTAAACCGCTCTGTGCTCTACTTCTGTGGCTTTACTGGGGAATTCATTCGGGCCTGGGCATTAACCCCAAGGTGGCCTGCTCAGGGCTGGTGGGAGTGGCTGGGGGATTAGCTGGGGGGACTGGTTACCCTGCATGTGACCTCTCCCGGCCTGGCACGGTGCTCTTAGAATAATCGAACATCTGGGGATGGAACCCAGGACCTTGTGCCTGCTAGGCAAGTACCCTACCACTGAGCTACATCCCTGGCCCCAGTGAAACATCTTACATGGTGACTCAAGGGCCCTAAGAATGCAAAAGCAAGGTCGCACGCCTGTGATCCCAGCACTCAGGAGGCTGAGGCAGGAGGATTGCAGTGAGTTTGAGGCCAGCCTGTCTCAAAAGACAAAAAACAAACAGAATGGAAAAGCAGTCATTTTGCTAGAACTTCTTAAGGCTCAGGCCTGGAACTGGCACAGGGTGACTTGTGTCCCCTTCTGTTGGCTGAGTCACAAGCTAGACATAGTCAAGGGGCGGCAACTGGAAGAGTACTGTGAATACTCAGGTGTGTTTCACTGGATGACACAGACTTCCAAGGACCACACTGCCTTGGGCAAATCTTAGGTTAGGTTATGCTACATAACAAATAGCCTCCCTATTTCAGAGACTTCACATAAGGGTTTCTTCCTCCTCAGGGACTTGTTCTGCCAGTTGTGGGTGCTCTACTCCACACAGTCTCTCAGGGACCCAGGGGCCATGGATACCATGTTTGCCATGGCCGTGGAGGTCAGAAAGGCTACAGGACTGTCCCCTGGCCTGGGCCCCGGGGAGACAGATGCCACCTCTGCTCAGTTTCATTGGTTGAAACCAGTCATGTGACCCTGCAGTGGGCAGGGTTGCAGTCTCCTCACATTTCATTGGCTGGAACCATCACATGGCCCTGCAGCAGGTGGACTTGGGAAATGTCCAGGAGCACCTGGGAAAATGGGGGAGCTTGCTGCCTTGGCTACTTGTGATAA